CCTAAATGTCTACTTATTCGACGCATGATGTTGCTTGAATATATATTTTTTTGTAAGCAATCGGTCCGACCGATGGACCTGGAACACCAGAGGCGTACAAGTGTGTCACCGGCCTTTTGGGAATTTGAGGATTGTGGGGGATTGGGGAGACTGGGTAGGGGGGGGAGGTGTAATTGAGCCTCCTGTAACATCATTCATACAACATGAGCGTTGTTTCACGTTGGTTTCCTGTGAGGCCGTGGTATCGCTCCGGTCGAGACATGATTCTCCCACACTAAATTTTTTTCTATGATATATTTATACGTTTTAAAACTAGAAACTACTTTCCAAATATATAATCTCTAGAATGTACTAAAACGGTCAGACAGGACATATAAAATCAAGAAAATTATACTATATTAATATTGAAAAGACGTGATGGGAGTTTCCCCATTGTTTCTTAGTTAATCTATTGTTGTAGTTTTTATAATTTCAGTATGACCAAGTTCTTCATTATAAGTAGGTATTATTGCAGTACTCGGTACTTAGGTAGACTTTATTACTGCTCTGAAGTAAACAATATTTTAAATTATAAGTACCTAACTAATTGTTGCCCGCAATTTCGTCCGCGGAGAATAGGATTCACGTTTCATCCCATGGGAGAATTTAATCGGGATAAAAAGTCCTATCATCTAAGTCAGCCCATACCCTGCCTGTATACCAAATTTCATAGAAAATCCAGTAGTTTCAGCGTGATTGACGAACAAACATCTAAACTAAGAAACTTTCTCATTAATTATGTGATATAATTATAACCTTATCTACTAATCTTTGTAGAAATATGAGTATCTATGTAACGAATTCTTACCTACAACTACAAGTTTAATATAATTTGTAAAATTAATAACATAATCCAAAATCGCTGGATCGATTTGTTTTTGATAGACACTCCACTCCATAGTACAACAAAGGTTGAAAAAACGTTATTATACACGTCAGCACTAACCTTAGTACTAATTTTTTTACGTTTAAAGTATTCGAAACGAGTACGCCTTCGGTACTCTGATTGGCCGGCTCCAATGAACCAACGCACTAAATACGGAGTTTTAATTTAACCCTATTAGTAGCTACATTAGGTCAACAATATTTCGGTAATTAATAAGCCTAGTTGGAACAACAATTAATGGTTTACACATACAGTTGTTCCGTACAGTCAAAGTAGTGTTACAATTATTCTCAACACAATTTCTTTGTTTATACACACATACATACATACATTATAGTATATGTAACTGCTATTAAATTGTCACACACGCGATCAACTCTGACCTTGTCGAGGACATCATCAATTTGTAATGAACCCTGTAAACATTACATAGTTTTGAAATGTAAACCTTACAAGGTTGTGTTATAAAACTTTTATACGTTACTGTCATTCGGAGTCGCGGAGAACCTAACGGGTAACCGGGGCTCCGACTCGACGTGCAGGAGAATGAACGGGGTGGTTTTTAGTCAGTAAGAGTCTGACACTCCCTCCCGCCTCACCCAGACGGGAGCAGTCATTCGATGATTTTCCCCCCTTAAAAAAAATACGTTACTGTCATACGGAATTTAACCTGATGTAGATATGATTAACCGTATTGTGCAAAGTAGAACACATTTATTAACACCCTTACAAGGATGATGACAGGGTGTGAAAATTAAAAATATAATTAGTCCGTAAGTTAGGTAATGAAAAAATATTAAACATGTATTTTTTTTATTTTGTCTTATAATAAAACAATACTTAGATAAAACGAATCAAAGTTTAGGAGTGGGGCCTAAAACGTCATTTCTACGTATAAAATGTACATAGAAGTGACGTCACGCGACATTTCAAATCAATATATCGTCGAAAGTATTCGTTCGATTTGAAATAATCTACCAGACGGGCATTAAAATAAAAATTAGTCATCTACCCTATTGGACAATAGTATTGATTTTGGACATGTGGGACTACAAATTACTGGCATTGATCAATGACCGTCAGAGATCAGAAGCTTAGCGTCTTATAGTTCTATTCACCGATTACGATTTTGAAAACCCAAATCATTGGATACTTTGTTCTGTGACAAAATTTTACAACTATTTTAATGATAGTTTTCTTACCTAAAATTACATGAAACTGATATAAAACAGTGATAATAAGTCAGTGTACTATTTATCTACAAATCTGCCTACCCTTGGGACACAGGTGTGAGATTACGATGACACACGTAAATTATATAATTGACTACCTATTTTGATTATCTTAGTAATATAGACAACATTATCTACTTAATTATCATACTGTATTACATAGTTATACAGGGCGCTAAGTTTACATAAGGGATGAAATCTAGCCTAATTGCTCATGATGACATGTACATAGTAAATTGACATGTAAGCCTTGTTACAAATATACAACATGTAACTTAAATAACGCACATCCTGAAAATAGTTTGTTCAGAATCGTTAACTGAATCGATTTATATATTTTTTAGTTAGGTAATTTTTTATCCCAAAAATAATTAAAACTACGGAAATTATTGTCATATTAACCCTGTATTGTTAAAACAAATCGAAATGGACCGTAAGTCAAAGCAATAAGACTTTTAAAATCGCAGTTTTATTTGTATTCATACAAATTCTATCATTCAATACAAAATAAAGAAAAATAAACCTTATGACAAGACCAGTAAGGATGCATATACATGTTAAATTTAAAATGTAGTGTGTGTATTATGGTGGGTGTTTGAGGGTGTGCGTTAATTACGTTACATGTATATTAAAATCATCATGTCGGTCACAAGACGAACTTACTGAACAATGGCCTCTCCAATAACACAAGATTGAGTTCGATCTTTAACCCCTTCGCATCCAACCACTGCCAGCCATGCGGATGTCGTCACTCCACCCAGAAGCTCTACTAAAAGCGACCTGTATTTAAATATTAAACTTTAAAATGTCAGAAACATACAAAAATATACTAACGTAAATAACTTTGTTTAATAAAGGAATGGTAATGGTAAAAATATATTATTAAGTTTTCTGGCGAATGGAGTGGAGTGTCTGTATATATGTATATCTATGTACATTTAGTAAATGTTATCCGCAAAAGTATATTTTACGAAGGTAGACCGAAATTCAAGAACATATTCATGTTTTATACACACTTACAATATTTGTATAAAGTCTCTCATTTAACACACTGTATATAACATACTAAGATATCTATTATGTACAAAGCTGATGCACATAAACACTAGGTACACAGCTGTAATGATTAGTCACAGCTGTGCCGCAACGCTTATCTGTGACTCTTGCCAGATGATTCAGAGTACAAAAACTGAAAACTAAAGAATATTCCTTCAATCTTGTCTTTGTTACGTTTTGTTAGTATCATGGTAAATATGACCAGAATCAGGCCCGAGCGTATGGCGCTTAAAGGAGCCATCGGACCACCACGAATGGGGCCCAACAGGGCTGATGCCGATACGGAGCCGCGGAAGACTTAACGGGTTGCCGAGGCTCCGGCTCGAAGTGCAGGAGTAGGAACGGGGTGGTTTTTAGCCAGTAAGAGTCTAACACACACAAGTCATTGGATGATTTCCTCCCTCAAAAAAAAGGTTTTGTGACGTTTTTGCAATGTGGGTCTTTGATTTTGTCAACCTTCCTTGATTGCGTACTTGTAAAAAGTCAACTACATAATTAATATTTTGTGATTATTTTTTTATGTATTATGTGTCTTAGGGTACCTACAGTATTAAGGTAATATAGAGCTATTCAATAACTGGCACATCTATTTTCATTAGTTTTAGCGACTACTACCGACATTTTGGGTCCTCCTTTCTATTAGGAATTTCCAGTCAATGCACATATAAATTCTATATAATCCGTCTACTGAACATGAACAAATATTGTCAAGAAACGTAACAAGTGAACGGAGACGATATTTGCAATATAATTACATAGTCATCACAAAATGACTTCATTGCAGACGAACCAGGCGGATTTCGCTGGTTTTTCCACAAGACGCATGCACTTGTAATACCTATTGAAAAGTGTAAATATAATTTTGCACTCTCCACAAAGATGTTGCTTTGTGTAACCTTAAGGATGACTGATAGCGAATGTCATTTGGTGTAAATATTACGTTTTGTCTCACTACGTTGACTACATCATTGATATTGTAAGTAAAAAGGTGTAGATAGGTTAACTCGTGGTGCTATATGTTATTTAGACGATCCCATTTTAAAAATCGAACGTTGATCTTAAACAAATGGCGGTGGTTTTTAAAATGGTAACATAAAACGGCACCAAACACAAACGGCACCACCACAAACCACCAAACAAATGAATACGTTGACGGCGCAACGCGACTCTGAGGTACAATGAGGCTAATTTTAAAGTGCCATTTTCTAAGCGCTTATAACCAGTCTACACCTTTTTAGTTTATAATATCGTTGCACTACATGATGTTAGTGTAGAACTGTTAGCATGAAGTCATTTGATAATGTCAAAAAACTATTTTGAGTTGTCGAATCTACTGATAAGTTACTGACCTCGTTGTTAGTAACAAAAAAACGACTGCGAGTGGTAATGGTAATGCGCGAGTGACACCTCTTTGTCACTCAAGAGATAAAAAATACAGAGTTAGCTGTCTGAAGTACAATGCTTGAATCGTCCAAAGGTTTATTAAATTCACGAAATCACAAGTAATACGTCCGGTGAAGAGCAATAGGTCGGCTGTTATAATAAGAAGACCTAATGGTCCTATTCTCCAAAACGTCACGTTTAATATTTATGCGTACTTCTTCTTCTCGCTTGATTGAAAGGATCAAACATTATTCAAGTGCAAGACGCTTTTAAAATATTAAAGTGTTATATTTGTATTTATAATATAAACATTTGTGTCACTTACAAATACTACAGAAAATGACAAAAATGGAGCGATCTTTAAGTGCAACTTAACTTTTAACAGAATATTTCTCTCTTTCCAGCGTTCCTGCTATGCAGTCGACCAGTGATAGTCGTGAATATGCACTTCAAAGGCACCCTGGAAGCTGATGACGTCACCAGTCTGAGAAGTATAGCAGACCTCGCGGTCTCCAGCAAGATGGAGCTGGTTTTCATCGGAGAGTTCAGGACGAGGAGTAATGTTCAATGTGAGTTAATAAACATGCTTTATTATATTTTTTTAATAATACCTTTTATTGTATGAGAGGAATGAATATAGTCAGGGAAATTAATACATCATTCACCGCTAAGTAAAGAAAAACATTATGCCCCTTTATGTCATGTAATAGGTAGTGAGTGCCATTGCATAGTTGCCAAATTTTCGAAATACTCACAAATAAATCAACCGGGTCACACCATTGGACGTTTAATATTTGACGGCTTCTGTGATTGGACAAAAAACCCTTCTTACATTTGCACCATCTTTTTTTTTATCATCAACAGCCTATAAATGCCACTGCTGAGCAAAGCCTCTTCTCACACGGAGAAGGTTAGAACATTAATCACCACGCTTGCTCAATTTGCGGGTTGGCGATTTCAAACTTATAATTAGAAATTATAAGTTCAGGTTTCCTCACGATGTTTTTCTTTCACCGTTTGTCAGTGGTGTCTAAATAATCTTAGAAAGTACATATAACTCGGAAAAAGTCACATTGGTACTTGCCGTTGGTAGGTTTCGAACCCGCACCCTCATGCATGAGAAGTGGGCGTCTTAAACCTCCGGGCCACCACGACATCACGACATCACGACACATCTTTTTTTCATATACAACATGTAACTTAAATAACGTTCATCCTGAAAATAGTTTGTTCAGAATCGTTAACTGAATCGATTTATATAATTTTTAGTATAGGTAATTTTTTATCCCAAAAATAATTAAAACAACGGAAATTATTGTCATATTAACCCTGTATTGTTAAAATAAATCGAAATGGACCGTAAGTCAAAGCAATAAAACTTTTAAAATCGCAGTTTTATTTGTATTCATACAAATTCTATCATTCAATACAAAATAAAGAAAAATAAATTTTATGACAAGACCAGTAAGGATGCATATACAACATGTATAAATTGAAAATTTAGTGTATGTATTATGATGATAACATAATATTCTAATTGGGGTGTTTGAGGGTGTGCGTTAATTACCTTACATGTTGTATATTTAATGGGGCGACGTTTGACCACTACCTGGTGAACAAAATAAAGTTTGCCCCTATTGCAAAATCGTTGAATTACTCTTTATACTTTCTAGATTTATCTACACAAAACACGGAAGGGCATCTCAATTATCATAATGTTTATCTTGTTATTCAAGTTATTCTGTAAGATTTATCTGATACAGAACAGTTTGATACTGATAATTCTTCAAACGGTTTGTTTTTTGATCATCATACATATAAACATTAAATATGCTGGATAAATGTATGTACATTGGCCAGCACTTTAACCCTACGCCAATGTGTCATTGGATTTTTGACTCGATATCTATAAACGATAGAGTTCAAAGTCTAATAAAGAAATTTGTGAGAAAAATGTACCTAGTTTGACCTGCTGCCACTCTACACATAATTTCCTAGTACAAATAACGCCAATTTTCTAGATAGTTTATAATAAAACCTGATCCATATTGAATTTGCTGAAAAATAATGTAAAAATACCATATATAAATCCTAAATATAAAGCTGTATCATACACCGCATACATGTCATTAAATTATTTATTATCTAGATCCGGCATGACAACTGAAATCTCGAGCAACATTGTTACCGATAATTCGATTATACCGATTAATCGCTGTCCCCTTATCGTTCAAACAATTATTATTATAATATGTAAATGATCAATTACTATTATCGTCATAATTTTATTTAATACCTTTATAAAACAGCTGAAATTTACGTCATTGGACAAGGAGGTCAAACGTCCAAAATGTAGAAATTACTTATTAAATTAATTGAAATAAACGTCTTATTTAAGTGTTCCGATAAAGCTCGACTAATTTCAAGCTATACTGGGACTCGTAAATCTCTTAATTCTGTATTAAACCATTTGGTTTCCCTCGCTACATCGTTCGCTTCGCACATATGTCATAACATGATTCTAAGCTAAACATGAACTAAATTTTAAACTTCTCAAACTATACGAGATTTGAGAACCTAAAATAATACAATATGAATATTATTTTGACATTCAAAAGTAACAACCATTGAATGACTTAGACAAGTGCAATTTATTTATAAAAATCTGAGTCATATTTCTGTTGTATGTGTGGAAACGCAAAAAATGGCGTTACGTAATTACTATTTCAGCTGTACAATATTATATTACATAATCTTGGCTTATTTTTAAATGGCACGAACACAAATGTGTCCAAACCTATCAGAATGACACTGGTTTCCCTTTGTCCAATGTTATTATAAAAATAATAGGTACTTACTTATATGCATCTCAGCTTATCTCTGTTAGGAATAATTGCATTACATTTAATAGCACCCACAACCTAGAAACACAATTTTAATAATATTTCTTTTCTTTTCTAGCATTCAAAACCTGCCAATCGGTCCTGAACGAAGAAATCGTTACTACGGTCGACATGAAAGCTACGGGCCAAAGCGGCATCTTATGCCCCGGGATGCTGGACAGCACTTCTTTTAATGGACAGTCGGGTGCTATCAAAACAGGACTCAGTCACTTAGCCATACCACGTGGCTGGTCCTGGGGAGGCCCAGCATCTCCCTACTGCCCAATCTGGGCCGAAATAAAGGTTCCAGATTGACAAAAACATAAAATAATGTATGGCAATAACATAAATATAGCTAATTTTGTATCCTCGGCTGTCCTACTCATCATACAATGCCTTCTAATGGTGTTATAGCACTCATATTTCAATTGAGATTAGACAGCCATTTTTAAACGTCAAAATTGGCGCCAATTTTCCTGTCAATTTTAAGGTGTCAAAATGTATTTATACTATCTATGGTTTAAGAGTTGTATTTTTTAATATTACGTGATAACCCGACTGGGCATTGGGGTTTTGGTACGATTGATGCCATTTCGTGTGGATTACATTACTAACAGTTTCAACAGATTGTGTTTCTTAATTTATTTTAGTGAACGAATTTTTAAATTGTAACTTTCGTGAGACATACTAAATTAATTATTATGTTTTTTGGCTCACTCACTTGATTATTTGCTACTGTCAGTAGCAGCGCGATAGCAGCGCGAATGATGCTCATGAATATGAGCTTCTAGCATGGCTTGTAACTAGTCGAGTTCCTCGTCAAAGAATTGCCTGAGTAAGCCGATAAACATAATTATTAACGAATTTTTAAATTAAGACTTGCAGTAAACTGTACGTGTTGCAATAATAATTCTATTATTGTGTGTACATTTAGTAGCGTAGGACCAATATAATATAGTCCAATTTTTGCCCAACCAAAGCATGGAACATTAATCGTGAAACTAATAGAAAATATAATGAATTACCACTCTAGCTAATTATGTATATAAATACAATTTTAAAATAATATATATTTATGTAAATAAAACGTAGTCTTTGCGGGGCATAGACTGAAAGTGTGCTTTTTAATGTTAAGTAGGTAGATTAAAAAGTTTTTTTTTGTTTTAATTATTATTTATGCAAAACTATTATTTTTGAAGTGTAAGCGTCACTGAGTCATCATGTAACGTGGTTCTAGAAGTGGTGCTTTTGTTTTCAACTCTTCTATTATTTAGAAATATTATCGAGCGAGTTAAGTGTTCTGATTGGTTGGTTCACTTGAGCCGGCCAATCAGAGTGCCGAACGCGCTCGATACTATTACGTTACGAATGCGATAGTTATTCGTGCTTGGCCCTCTGAACTTGATGATATAAGACAATTATCTTTCTGTTCTATAAAATATATTATTACAGATATATTCAACACTTTTAGTAAATAAAATACTCCATTACCGTTTAATAACAATGTTTTTTTTTTCAAATCAAGTATTGTCTCAAACATTGCAATACAATAAATACGTTGCGAAAATTATAAACTATTCATTTATGCAATATAACTCGTAAAACGTTTACTAATGTAACTCTTTTACGAGATAACTCGATTAATTTCGAGCCACGCTCGGGGCTCATAATATGAGGAGCAATGTACCAATTTTATTATAATTATGTATATCAGTCGTTTTCGTTTAGTTACTTCTCTATTTAATAAGATCCTTAAATATAAGAGATTTGACTGCTGTAACTCTTGCTACTATAGTGACTGAACGTAACTAGTAAAACGCTTTCTATGTAAAAATGTAAATTTTGGCGTTCAAAGGAATTTAATATTTAAGACAAATAAAAAAATCTACTTAATATTTTTGTATTATGTGATTTTGATCTCGTATAGGAAGAAATGATAAATTAGATTCTTGAAAATTTTCTAAATTTATTTCGTTTGTCGGTTTTTCTGCTGCTATCTTGTAAACGGCTGAACCTACTTGCAATATATTTGAAAATCTTACCTAAAATACTATAATATAAAATATATGGAGTAATATTTTTGACAAATTACACAATATAGATAAATAATCTGTCCTACAACTAAAAATAATAGATAATAATTATTTATGTTTCAATTCTTTTTTTCTCTATGGGGTATTTAAGGGGTCCACAGATAATATAAACCAGAGATTCCACGTCTATAATTTATCAATTTTGTGATAATAAAATATTATTTTAAGTTTTTTTTGTGGTATTATCTGAATAATTTGAAATGTTTGTTTATTACATGGTGTAAATTATTATTGATGAATTTTAAAAATAAATTATTTAAATTATGATGTTGTTGTTTTATTGTTCAAGGTGCTTTATGTGGTTGTTAATGACTTTGTTAACTAGTATTGGTAGTCGTAAAGATTTATATCTATATATTGGGTTCCATGTTCTATGACTCGGGTAAGAAAACTTTAAAAAGGTACTTGTGTACATGAACGTTTCTGACTCAATTCTTATATTGGCGATAGTAATGAGTTTACGACTAGAAAGTTATCATGCCGATAAGATACATCTAAGCCTCTGCATACCAGCAGCTGTAGCCAAATGCCATTTAGCGCTTGTCCACGTGTAGAATAGAAAGCCAAATTATATGGAATTGACGTACATTTTGACACTTGTCAGTCGTCATCCCCATACATTTAGTTATCTACTCTCTCTGTAGATAAGCGCTAAAGTGGCGTTTGGCTAAAGGCACTGCATACCAAAGAGTATAATAAGTATAGTGGTTCTCCATACCAAAGAGTATATCCCTAGGTCCCTACATGGATAGAATTAATCTTGAAAATAAAAAAGTTTGCAATCGATCACCGCAAAGGGCTTGTCTCTTTCAAATAAAAAAAAAACAATTTGTGACAAAGTCAAACTTCACACTGACATCACGACGCGACGCTGAGTTTGATAAACTCTTGGATTGAAGGCCTAAAATATACACCAGAAAGCCCTAAAAAAATCTAGATAATGTCGGACATAGAAACTAGATTGGAGGGTATGCTCTTCGACTTCCAAACTACATACAAAACCGATTACCGTAGGGGTCAGATTCGAGCCCCAGTCTTAACAAAATATGAGGAGAAGCCTAAATGCCTACGAATAAGGCCTCCGCCTTTGAAAGACATCCACACACTGACTGCTTGGAGAAGTACGCCAGTCCCTTTTAGCTTATGGCATAAACCAAATCCTATTCTTCATAAGGACCCCAATAAAGTTCAGAAGCCTTATGTTAGTATTGTTTTTATAAAACTTGGAGTACTATTGTAATTGATGTTAAGTTTACTTACACAAAATCCATTAATCTCATACACACATTTCGGAGCTGCGGAACACCTAATGGGTTACCAGGGTTCCGGTTCAAAGCAGTATTAGGAATGGGAGGATTTTCATCAGTAAGAGTCTCGCACTCCCTCTCACCACGACGGGAAAATCCATTGGACGATTTTCGTCCCTTTAAAAAAAGACTACACATTTGACAGGGACCGGGTAGTAGTAGCTTTGAAAAATCTGTACTATGATCTCCAATCTGCCTAGGCAGCTGCGTGGCGGTTATGGTAAGTACAATCTGCAACTTGGCTGGGGAGAGTGCTCTTACGCAGAGGAAGCCACATAGTCCAGCTGCGGACTTTTTTTATGGGATATCCCGGTAAACGAGTAGACGGATCACCTGATGGTGAGCAATCGGCGTCGCCCATGTACACCTGGAACACCAGAGGCTTTACAAGTACGTTACCGGCCTTTTGAGATTAGAAATACATATAAGGATTATTGGGGATTCAGGGATTGGGGAGATTGGGGAAGGCTTCCGGTAACCTCACTCACACGACTAAACACAACGTAAGCGTTATTTCACATCGGTTTTCTGTGAGACCGTGGTGTTACTTCGGTCGAGCAAAACATTCGTGCCGAAGCATGGCTCTCCAACACTTAGCATGGCCCTCCCACATTTAAAACTGATGGATGATATTTAATTTAAACTACTCAGGTAAAACAAGAAGACACAGAGCTAGCCCAAGTAATAAAGACCCGTCCCCGCGTGGTGATGACTCCAGCAGTCAGCGTGGATGACATCGAGGATCCCAAGGCGAGGGCGATTCTCTGCGACGCCATGTATACCAGCACTGTCGCCAAAATGAATAGGGAGGCAGTTTCTGATTACGTTAATATGAAAGCACCACTAAGTCCACTACCTGTACCAGCTAATCCGGTAAGTAGTGATTTGTAGTATCTGCCTACTTCATGGGCAAGAGAATCCACGCCATATACATCAGTGACCATACTATTTTCTAAATTCTCTCTCTATTCAAATACAAGAGCTGATCAATAAAAAAGACGAACTAAGGACTTCGCCAGGTTATCACTATTTAATTGTGCTGGAGCTTTTTACAAACAGGTGACACTGCCACGCCTTCGACCTCCGTACGTGTCTCCGGAGTGGAGGATGGAGACAGTATCCTGGGACAGACAACAGCTGAGGAGCTACTGTGACCCTACTAAGCAGTTCTGGCTCCGGCAGAAATCATTTCCGTATGTACCTACTGGCTTTCACACATTCTTTATGTCAAGGTAAATATTACCTAACCTTAATCGCATGTCGCGGAGAACCTAACGGGTAACCGGGGCTCCGGCTCGACGTGCAGGAGAAGGAACGGGGTGGTTTTTAGTCAGTAAGAGTCTAACACTCCCTCTCGCCTCACCCAGGTGGGAGCAGTCATTCGATGATTTTCCACCCTTAAAAAAAAAACCTTAATCGCATTCATGAAGCCCCCATCTCTCAAAGTCTTTCTCTTCTTTCTTCTTTCTTCTTTAAACGACTAAGCTTATAATTCTGTGCAAAATAACTTAGTCATGTGTTTAACTTATATGGTGTCATATCATATTGATGTTTAATTTATACAGATGCCGTCCTTGTGAGGAGACAGCAATAGTAGAAGCACACCGCAAACTCCAGAATCAGTTGGACTGGGCTAAGCGCAAATGAAGAGTTGGATACCTAAGCAAATACAATTATTTACAAACTTTACAACACATTTATCTACTCGTAATTTAGATATCTTGAAAATAGAAACGACAACTATACTTACAGGGTTTGTTTTTAAAACCAATGCTAAGATGGCGTTGGTGTCGAACATGAGTCTGTGGACTTGGCTTGAATGTGAATAATAATATTATTGGTGTAAATCTGTAAGACTAGCCAGCACTTATTGCCTGATAACATCTTAGGTTTCATATTTTGTCCTATGTTTTAGCTAATCTATACTTAGATGAACGAGGTCGCTATTACTTTTTTATCTCGAGTAGTATCTAACACTTGTCTAGTATTGTATTAATTTGGTATAATTTAATTTAGATGAAAGTCAAATATTATTTTGTGTTTTAATTTTATGAGAATATTGTGTCGGTTTATTTGTATTTGTACCTAGTTATTATTTATTTAGCTTTTAGATTTCAAGATTTGTTTGAATTTTTAGTTGTTAATAAAATGTTTGTTTTTATAATTTTGCGTTTTATTTTGACGTAGAGTTGGGCGTAGGAACCGGGACCCGGTGCCCCTTACAGGTGCTGAGGGTGGCCACCGGGGTGGTTTTAGTGAGGTAAGAATCCCACACTTCCTAGTCTTTCTCCCCAAAAATCTAGGCGCGTTTTGAAGGTTTTCCCCTTGACACAAAAAAAGGTACCAATAGTACTAAAATATAATCGCTGTTGGAGAGGCTTATTTTCAACAGTAGACGGAAGCGATAAGGAATTAGAATAGCTGATCAAATAACTATATGTAACTAGCAAACCCGGCGAACACCGTTTCACCACCAGATGGCTTCGTTTTATGTAACATTTTGTTTGCTGATTAAAAAATGAAGAAACGTTTTTTTTCTTTCTTTGCTATATACCTCACGGAGCCCGAGACCTTTCCAATGAATGCAAAACCGTGGAAAGCGGTTCGTGCGTTCTGGAGTTATAGCGTCAGGAAGGAAAACCCGACTTATTTTTATATAGTAGATAACCTAAATATTTTTTAATTAACCATTTTGGAATCAAACCTCACACTACACAGAAAACAAAGTAGCACCCAACAATCGTTATGCACCCATTTAAGGCCTAATATGTCAAACCTACTGCCTCGTTGGCCGAGTGGTCGCAAGTGCGACTGCCAAACAAGGGGTCTCGGGTTCGATTCCCGGGTCGGGCAAAGTACCACTGGGTTTTTAAAAAAATCTCAGTAGTAGCACGGAGACTGGAATTGTGCCCGGTATATGGCAATAGGATCACCCCCTATCACATGGGACTCATAACATAAATAAGGAAAAATGGATGTTACATTGTAAAGTGGCATTAAGTGCAGTAAATGTGCACCTCTGCCTACCCCTTCGGGGGTAAAAGGCGTGATGTTATGTATTTTATGTCAAACCTACATAAAAATTACTTTTTCTGTATTTCTCAAAAAAAAAAATGACAACAATTTCGATTTGTCATTTTGTCATTTGCTCATGAGAGTGGAGTTTTAATTTTTTACATACTTTTGTTTAATTTTATTTACTAATAATTTATTTTGTACAATGCCCGAGGAGGCGAAATTGGAATCTATCCTGTTTAACTATGAAACCACATACAAGGGTTCTTACACGGACGGCAGTGTCGAAAAATCAATGAGGGATCGTATGCCTGATAACAAGGGGGAGAAAATAATTAAGAAGCCACGTGAAAGACCACCCTTCGTTCCCTTAAAAGATTTGGAATCCCTAACTCCTTGGAAAGATCATAATGTGCCTTTTACTTTGTACCACAAACCGAAAGAGATATTGCAAACTAACCCTAGAAATATGCAGGAACGATTTGTAAGTTCTTTGTGAAACAGAATTCATTCATAAGAAAGTAGCCAAAATGTAGGGCCTATATTACAAGGTGTTGTTTTAAAGCCGCAGCATTTTCGAATCAATAAAAAAGGTGGAGGTAAATATTTTTCATTTTTCTCACATGTAGTTTCCCCGCCGTCTTGGAACTAGCTTTATAACGCGGCTTAGCACACACAAATTCAAACACGTAATTGATATTATTCCCAATTTCATAAAAGTCCAATAAGAAACATTGCTGTCGCTTATTCTGAAATAGTCGTACTTTTATCTATTGCCCCGAAATTTTCTCTTACATTGAACCTTTATGACTTCTGTGACATGCCCCCGAGAAATGTCACGGTTTCAAAACTACACCTTGTATTAATTAGGTAGTTAATTACTAGCTTCTACCAGAGCAGCGGCCCAAAGAAGCCTATGTGTTATTGCAGACCATTATCTAGCCTGTTCCAAACGCCAGTTATACTTTGAGACGAGACTACTTTAGGTAACAGAGGACCCATCAGGTGAACAGGATTACAGCAACCGTACGCAGCCAGCATATTCTACTGCAAGCTAATGCATTCTGATGTCCCATCAGGGACTATATATATATTCAAGTAAAATTATTCGTAAATTAACTTAACTTACATTAAAACAGGACAGATTTGTTGATGAAGAGCGTGCCACTGTCCAGAAGACCCGTCCAAAGGTCCTAATGACCCCCGCTTACCATTTGGACTCCATCCCAGAACCGTAAGTTTTCCCACATTATGACGCAACATATTAATCTTTGAAGGAGTAGGTAGCTTCACTTAAAAAAGGTACAATGTAATGCCCACTTTTCACTTATGTTGCGGCTGCGATTGCGAGGTCCTTACATTGAGAATGAGCCTATGAGTAACAACATTATGACTCTTATACCCTAAATCATAATCCATAAAAAATATAATCCTCTGAAAAGTACCTACATATTACACACAGTCTAGTTAGGCCAGAAGCCTCAGTACGAGTACCGGAGCTCTGATTGGCCGGCTCCATTAAAACAACCAATCACAGGAACATTAATGTTAAAACGATAATGTTTCGAACGTCTAAAACAAACTCGTACTATTCGCTCTGTTAAACCAGACTTATGCAGATGCACATGTAAAGATCTTAAGTTCTGTTACTTTACCAGTAATTAAACGTGAAGTCGTTCAATGAATAGATATCAAAATAACACGGGTCACATAAGGGTCTGACACACCTTCTTGCCTCAACCGTGTGAGAGTAGTCATAGGATGATTTTCTCCTCTCAAAAAGAAGTCAAGCCGAAGGACAAAATTAGGGGCACTTATCTTCATCAGTGCCTCTAATTTTTTTGGCGCCATGGCCACGCACGCCTCATGGCGCCCGTCTGTAACACGGCGCCTTAACACAGTTTGTCTCAACAATATTACGGCTCTGGCGATACCAATATTCCCTTCATGAGATTCCTAAACTGTTTTACAGAGACCGTGAAGTGGTAATCAACAGTATGTACAAGTCTGAAACAGCCTACAGCCTGGAGGACGCCTTGAAGAGAACGAAAGCTGACAACAAGTCTGTGAAGTCCCCGCTACCAGGAGTTTACTCGAAGTGCAACCCGGTAAGTTAAGGAAGGGTATTTTATAGTTTCTGAACGATACCTTTTGAGTAAGGTGAATTATGAACCACCATGAACCCTATTCCGTTTTCGATCTAAGTCAAACCTTGAATAAATATTCCAATACCACAAATATTCACTTGGACCCACTTGGTCTGTTCCGGACCAATGTGTGTATGTATTTAAAAGTATAGTATCCAATGTGCATAGAAACGTGATGTTGCTAATTTGATATTTAATGTTAAAATTAGACTTTAAGATATCAATTAAGAACTTTTTTTTTAATACATACATATTTTCATCAGTGAATGTTGCAGTTCCCGCAGGATGTTCAGGAAATCATCATATATCTGTCTCCTGATTCTGAGCTACCTCCTCACCAATTTTGAGCCAAATCGATTTAGCCGTTTTTGACTTATAATAAATAGAGTAAATAACACGACTTTTTGTGTAATATCATCATCATCATCATCGACAGCCAGAAAGACGTCCACTACTGGACAAAGGCCTCTCCCTTAACCCTCCACGTCGAACGACAACTCGCCACCCGCATCCACTGGCTCCCCGCAACTCTGATGATGTCGTCGGTCCCCCTAGCGGGAGGCCTGCCCACGCTTCTTCTTCTATCTTCTGTGTGATGTGACGTGGCAAAAATAATTTCCTTACTGCCTGATATTAGGTGAAAAATGAACTCGAGCCTCTGTTACCGCCCTACGTGTCTCCGGAATGGCGCCGGGATAGCGTCTTCTGGGACAACAAGCAGCTCAGGACCCATGCAGACGCAACCAAACATTTCTGGCTCAGTCGGGAACCACCCAAGTATGTCATTGTTATTATGAAATATTTTGAAACTACAAAATGTTTTAATTTAATGTAGGAGCCATGTTTGCATTAAAATCACTAGTGATATATTTTGCTGCTAAATCTAGAATTCGTGCTGCAAAATAAGCTAAACTGCTGCTAAATAATGCCGAGATCAGATTGTAAAAATCTGATGTGGCTCCTCAATCCTTACGGACATTAAAGAAATGACAGAAAATTAGATCTTTTGGTTATGGAAGTAAAATAAGAAATTAACTAAAAATCGCGAGTTACTCACGTAAATAAAAGCTCTACTAGTTTCGAACTACAAAGGGGTTCTTCCTCATAAGTAACATGCGCGGTCGTGGCGATATCGCGCAGCCTACGCATCTAGTCTAGCTCTCATCTAGCACTAGTTTCGCTTTTCTCAGTATATTCCCGTGAGTAGCCCCCGATTTTTAGTTAATTTAGTATGTCTCACGATAGCTATTATAAAAAATAGGAAATAAATTAAATTACAGAAACGTGGCATCGGGTTCGATTCCCGGGTTGAGCAACGGATTCCTAGTAGCCATAAAATAATAACAAATAATTTGAAGGCTTAACCTAATGTACGTGGCCGATGGGTGGACCTGATTACTTACCATCAGGGATCATCTGATCCGTGCACTCGTTTGTCCTCTATCTCTTGATTTTTCTACAAAACTATCAGTAACTTCAATATCTTCATCAATAGGCTCACCCCCTATTACATGGGACTCATAACATAGATAGTGAAAAGTGGGTGTTACATTGTACAGTGGCATAATGTGCACATCTGCCTGCTGCTTTGGGGATAAAAGTCGTGATGTTATGTTATGTTATCAGTAACTTAAATTATTAATAAATATTTTACCTTCCTTTCAGCTGCTTAGCGTGCAACGCAACAGCTTTGTACCGAAGGCTGAACAAAAAATACGTGTGACTTCAACATAGCTTTATTATCAACCTTAAACGTATATAACATTAGTTCTAGATTACATTGTGTTCAAATTACATTTAGGTGCAAATGTAAATCGGAAAAGTTGTTTTACGGATCTGTTACTAAATAATAATATCGGAAACATGTGAAATCCTTTGATCATAATTTTCTTAAAAATACAATGTATTTCTTAGTGGGGCCTACCGTATTTTTGCTTACCATATGACGCTTATGTGAAACTCTCGTTCTTCGTCCAATAGGCTAATTAGCCAGTGTCATACAATTGGGATGATGACAGGGTATGAAAATTAAAATATAATTAATCCGTCAGTTAGGTAATGAAAAAATATTAGACACGTATTTCTTTATTTTGTCGTGTAATAAAACAATACTTCGATAAAACGAATCAAATGTTAGGAGTGGGGGCTAAAACGTCATTTCTACTTATAAAATGTACGCAGAAGTGACCTCATGCGACATTTCAAATCAATATATCGTCAAAAGTATTCGTTTCTGTAAGAAAATAAAAAATTCGTGTCTAATGATTTAAAATAATCTACCAGACGGACATTAACACGTTAAACGCCATGGCAGTCACTGGTGACCGACTTTAGCGGAGGATTTGCCCTCAAAAGTTTGTTTTGGCAGCCAATGCCTTAAAATAATTAGGCATCTACCCTATTGGACGTTCAATATCTGACAGCTCCTGTGATTGGACAAAAAAACTCCTTCCATTTACGACATCTAGCGAACCAAAAATACGTTAGCCCCTTTTATCTATATATCTAGACGTACAATAAAACTGTAGAAGTGTAAATTCTGCACATTGAAAATAATACAATAATAAATAGTGGGAGGTATAGCTATACTGGACAACGAACCCAAAAATTTGATTAAAACATTTTTTGTCTGTCTGTCTGTCTGTCTGTATGTTCACGTATCACGCAAAAACTAGCGGTCAAATTACGATGAAAGTTGGTATGATTATACTTTAACATTCTGGGCACGACACTGGGTACTTTTATCCCGAATACACGAAAGTATATACACGAAAAAACTAAGTGCATTGTACGGTTCAATCCGTAGACACAGTGAAATAAAGTAACACTGAAAAAACCCCCTTTGATGAAACCGGTTTAAATATTGGTGTAAATGCATAACTATTAAAATGAATTAATCTTGCGTTAAATTAATATGTTTGTAATTTTCGAGATTTTTTTGAGTGAGATTGGAGTAAATGTATAGGTTCAAGTAGCGCCTGCGCAATACCGGGTCCATGAAACCTTTTTAAAACAATTCATATATTAACTAAAAAACGCGGGTTACTCACGTGAATATACTGAGAAAAGCTCTACTAGTTTCGAACCACAGAGTATGTCTCACGATAGTTATTATAAAAACAATTCTTATATTCTTTTTTTACATCTGCACCTAAATATATTATTTTTAATAAGGCAGCAGTTCAATCACTATTCAAATGTCTGTGTTTTTAGAAAAATTCAATTCACAACTTGAAATTAACAATTTTCTTTTGAATCAAAACATACATTAACTATGAAGGTAGACCAAAAAATCCAAATACGAAAATTATTAATCTTATTGCACGCCATTTTAAAATCAAATAAACTGCATGAAAAATATTGATGAATAATTATAAAAGTAATTGTGGATTTTTTGGTCTAATTTCAGAGAACGAATACATATTTAATTATCTTGCTTTCAAATTATATTTTCATCTTTTTCACACATTTACAGTGTGACAAAGACAAAAGATAAATAAAACATTGGCCCACCACTAAATTGTATAAACATGAAAATTTTAATATCATTTTTAAACATTTATTTTTATTTAGACAACATTTAATTTTTATAAGGCATTGTATGCTAGAAGCTTTATTTTAAATAAAATATTTTTTTATTCAATTTCATTTTTTCTTTCTATTGCGACCGATTAATAATAATAACAAAACAAACATTTTATTTCTGTACACTGTATTTTTTTAATAATATTGCAAAAGTTTTAATTCACAAACAGTGAATGTAATATCGAAAAGAATGAATTTAAAAACTATAAAACATCAAACTATGTTACAAAAAAACCGATTCCAACCCCCTCACTTTTTATTAATATACCAAAACCTTCTCCTATGGGTAACAAACATTTCTTTGAAAACTGCATCAAAATCGGTTCAACGAATCGCGCACACACATACTTACATTACCTACATACAGTACCTTTTTTGAAGTCAGTTAAATATACCGAATTTTCAATCTATGAGAAAAGAGCAACATTTGATCACTATATATTAGCACACAATTAACACACACTATAAACTAAGTATATTAAAAAGTTACAATCCTATCAATAACTGTTTAACGGTTTTCGAGATTAGAACGAACAAACTTGATTTATGACAAACAAAATTGCACCTTGCACCTTTTTGTTCAAAATAAATGACTCACTAGCTTTTTGATAAATTGTTTTTGTATCTTATTTGTATTAGTTTTAACTTTTGACTAAACTGTTACTATCCTAAAATATAAAAATTAAATATACATAATATCTTTACCATTCACGGGACCACAGGGTCCCGGTCATTTGGGAGGCGTACGAGGGGCCGAAGCCAACTGCGCAGAGGCCCTTTAGACAACTTTAATCTAAATGTAATGGACACACAAACCGGCGACTATCCCTGTATGCACTATTATTATTATTATGAACAAATAATATTTTATTTGTCTTATTGATGAAATGTCGTTCTAACCAAAATTGTTAAGTAATAAAATCAACTGGAAATTGTTATAATATTTTTGAGCAGTGTACAGAAATCATAAGATCCTTTAAATTATAAGCAATAATAATTATAATAATATATAAAAAAAAACAAATTCAATTAAACAATTGTTTGAATTGACAGATGTGATTTCATTTTAAGACAAAAATACGTGGACTGCCTCTTTGGCCGAGTGTTTGCAAGTGTGACTGCCGGGCAAGGGGTCTCGAGTTCAATTCCCGGGTCGGGCAAAGTATTACTGGGTTTAAAAAAAATCTCAGTAGTAGCACGGAGTCTGTAACTGTGCCCAGTATATGGCAATAGGCTCACCCTCTCTTACACGGGACTCATAACATAAATAGTGAAAAGTAGGTGTTACATTGTACAGTGGCATTAAGTGCCGTAATGTGTACCTCTGCCTACCTCTCCGGGGATAAAAGGCGTGGTGTTATGTTATGTTTTAGTTAATTCAGTATGTCTCACGATAGTTATTATAAGAATGAAACAAACTACTTTTTAATTTAGCTACTCACTAACTTGTTATTAATCTCAAGATGATATTTTTTTAAATGATAGACGATCCAAGCCAGTGTACATGAACATTAACTTAAAATGAAGTCACATCTGCCAATTCGATTATGCCTTAGAGACTAAAACCTAACATAATTCAATATCACAAGTAACTATACAACTTTGACTTAATAACAGAATCTTGTTCAAGCAAATATTTATAATAATATATTGTGTTTACCTCTTTTACCGTAAAACATTGCAAATTAGTACATTCTACCATTTTTGTATCCAATAGTTCCATAAGCGCGGCGCCACTGTCGCTTAAAAGCTGGTACACCATTTTAAATACGAAAGCTATGCTTGAGCAAGATATTTAAGCTTTTTTTTTCTTTTTTTTACTAACAGCGCAAAATATACATTCACATTGCATTTTTTATTCGAATTTTATTTAATATTATTATTTTATTATTAATTTGACTGTTTATTTTAATTCAGTCTCTTATTTATGTCGAAAATGAAATTGATTATTATATTTAACGAACATTTTAGTACATATTACATTTGTAACATCCAAGTTCATTTTGCAGACACTCATTCAATACACATTTTGAGTACTATTTGAGTGTCGACTGAGTGTTTAAAAAATGAACTATGAAATATGTGATTACAGAAAAACTGACAGCATTAACATTAAATATATTGACGAACAAGACACAATATTAATACATTGTTATTAATTCTTATAAATATTTGTGTTTTTATCCATAGACACGTAACAAAGCTATCATATTAAGAACTTCTAAATCACCACTCCATTATATATCTTATTGCTGATGTTTAGAGACTACTTTTGTATGAACAAGTTTGGTTATTACACATGAACAAGAGCTTTCATAAATCAATAATAAGTTTTAATCAGATTTTTGACGTAAAAGACCGCTAGATGACACCACTGTGTCACAAAGTCTAACTTGTTCAAAGCACCTGTAACATGTTCATTTAGAAATAAATTCATTATAAGCAAATAATATCATAATAATGGTCTAGAGACTTTAAACTACACTAGCGACCTCTAGCAGTAACATATTCGTACTGACTGAAATATCTTTTATAGATTTTTGACCTTATAGTTTTATAATAGAGTTGAAAATTGATGAAAAAAGTTTGTTCAACAGTATATTGAACTACCAAATAAACTAATACAGAAATTTAACTCTTATAATTATATCAATTGGAATTTAAAATAAGAAAACAAACTCATTCGACTTTCAACCTTACAACACTATCATAAAGTTCGAAAATCAATTAAAAAAGATCCAATTTAACACATTTTCAACTCTATACCCGTACAATAAGATCGCAAATCAAACGAAATAATATAGCTTTAACGTTGGAATTCAAAAAGGACTCGCCTCATGACGTACCTCTCAACTTCGACCCTGACGAGCCTCCGTCATCCATCCAAGGCGCTCACTAGGCATATATTGGCGAGTGCCATGGCCGTGTTCTGCCGAACTAGGGGATTAGGATCCTTGATCAGCTGTAATAATCGAGTTCTAGCCGTCTTTGTTATGTCCGGGTCTAATTCCGTTTCATCCGGGTTTTTCTCCCGAATTCTGTATAGTTCTGCATAAAGGAGGCCTGGAAAATAAAATTTCGAGTGTGAATATGTGTTTCAGATTTACAAGTCCAGTAAAACCTAAAAGAGTAACGAATGGAGTTTCTCGCTCGTTCTTCTACATTTTGGAACGAGCACCTAGCTTCACTGACGGACAGACTGACTATTATTTATTTTGTATTTCTTGCTGTTTCAAAAGTACCAAATTTTTTTTATGGCATTTTTTTATGGTAAACGAGCAGACAGATCACCTGATGGTAAGCAATCGGCATCGCCCATGGACACCTGGAACACCAAAGACGTTACAAGTGCGTTACCGGCCTTTTGGAGATTAGGAGTTTGAGGATCGTTGGGGATTCAGGGATTGGGGAAGGGGTGGGCAATTGGGGCTCCGGTAACCTCACTCATACGACGAAACACAAGGCAAGCGTTGCTTCGCGTCGGTTTTCTGTGAGGCCGTGGTATCACTCTGGTCAAGCCGGCCCATTTGTGCCGAAGCACGGCTCTCCCACACAAATTATGGTTTAATTGAAATAAATGCTTTGACTTCTGACTTAAGGATAAATAGGGGCTTCTGGATTCGTATTATAATTCGGGTGTGTGGAATTGGGCTCGGTGATTTGTTGGTCGGTTGCTATTGAATTAGTAATAGGGATATAACTGGAAACCTTATCTAGAAATAATACATTTGATTACAATATTTTCAGTGGTACCTATATTGGGTTTGACTATGCGTTAGGTTATTTTAGGATTTGGGGTCATGGGCGCATAGAGTGGGGAATCTAGGCGCCCAATAATGACCTTGAGGATGACGGCGGCACAGTGGTCACGTGCCGCCGTGCGCTGTACAGAGAGGCTCTAGGTAGACACATAGGTCTCCATAGGGAGGTGTCGCAAAAGGCGTTGCACCGTGGGGGCTCCGGGGTTGGTCTACTAAGAGGACCCTGCGCCTCCTTCAAGTGTGGAAAAGTCTTTTTAGGAGAAATAGCAGTAAAGTTTGTAAGTTAATTTCATCTTATCTTATCTCATTAACCCTAATATCAAAGACAATAAAGCTTAAAACATTTCATAATCAACGAAACCGTTTGGTTTCGTTGATTATGAAATGTTTACAACAATACACATTTACTTTAAAAACCATTCTAAACCCTATCCTCATGCCGCGGAGAACCTAACGGGTAACCGGGGCTCCGACTCGACGTGCAGGAGAAGGAACGGGGTGGTTTTTAGTCAGTAAGAGTCTGACACTCCCGCCCGCCTCACCCAGGCGGGAGCAGTCATTCGATGATTTTCCCCCCTTAAAAAAAACCCTATCCTCATAACAATAAAGTTAAAAATACATCACCACAACATTTCAACCCTTATTCCCACAAAACTAAAGTTAAAAATACACCCCCAAACCATTATAACCCTTATACTTCTTGAAATAAAGTCCAAAATAGGCTTACCAAGTAACAAAGGTGGATGAGGTTTGATCTCGTCGCGGGCACAATGTAAGTAGTTGACAGCAGTCTGGAGACACTTCACGATGCTGCTCGGTAGCTCATCAGCTAACTGCCTCAGTAATGCTGAGAGGAACTCGTCCAGGTATAGTCGGCCTTCGTCCAAGAGATGCGTTTGGACAAAGTCATTAGATTTCTTCACGTTAAACGTCCTGAATACTTGTTTGAGAGTGAATTTGCTGGCCTGGAGAAAATATGAGCATTTTTAATTTTGATTTATGTAATGTGTGCAATGGCTAACTATCTTCTAATGAGATACAATGATAAAAGTATAGTAGAAGAGTTGGGTTTTTCATCTAGACAGATATCGAATGATAAGTTACTTAACCCTTAGAGCGTTACGTCAGTCACCGGTGCCTGACGCTAGTTGAGGTTTGACTTTTACCATTTTAAACTTGGTTGCCAAGTGTTAAGGAAATAAAACTTTTTCTTAGTATAAAATCAAAATATGAGCAGTTTGGCAATTTTTTTCCATTACAGTCATCATCATCATCATCATCAACAGCCTATAAATGCCCACTGTTGAGCAAAGCCCCTTCTCACACGGAGAAGGTTTGAGCATTAATCACCACACTTGCTCAATGCGGGTTGACGATTTTAAACTTATAATTAGAAATTATAAGTCCAAGTTTCCTCACGATATTCCTTCACCGTTTGTCAGTGATGTCTAAATAATCTTAGAAAGTACATATAACTCGGAAAAAGTCACATTGGTACTTGCCGTTGGTAGGTTTCCAACCTGCACCCTCACGCGTGAGTAGCGGGCGTCTTAAACTTCCGGGCCACCACGACACAATAACATACAATAATTAATTATTATGTTTTCGGCTTAATCGCGTAACTGTTTGACGAGGAACTCGACTAGTTTCAAGCCATGCTAGAGGCTCATATTCTTGAGCAGCATTCCGCGCTACTGGCTGCTCGGCTCTGCGGCAGTGCGGAATGCAGAATGAAACTAGTCGAGTTCCTCGTCAAACAATTACGTGAGTAAGCCGCAGACATTATAATTAATTTAGTATGTCTCAGGAAAGTAATGTAAACATAACATAACATGAGATATGGTGTAAGTAAGTATCTAACAACATCATTAGATACGTAATAAGGCTTTACAAGACTGCTCTATCTCTTTCTCATTTCGCTATCTCTCTTTTCTCTTTGCTATCTCCATTCCGCATCACAATTTTACCACAAAAATTAACGTAAGTAAGAACCAAACAAAAATAAAACTTACCCGTACAACATTAGGGTTATTATCGCACAAATGTAGCAAGAAGCAAGGCAGAGAGCTCACTCCTTGGTCGACGAGCGCATCTGACCTCACCCTACCCGCAATAATTCCAAATAACTTTATAGAATGCTCCCTTAATTGTGGACATTCTGTGTTCATAAACGGTCGTATTTTTTGTGATATTGATAGCAATTCTCTATCGAACTCCTGGTCTATTTTGTCTAGCTCTGTTAAAAGACGGCTTAGACCTTGAATTGCGGCAAGAGGTACGTTGTCTGTTGGTGCTCTGTGGATAGAAGTGGGGTTTTATTGACTTTCGAGGCATTATTATGTACTGAAAGTATTGATATTCGATTTTCAACCTTATTCTTTTGTGATAAGGTTGAAAATCTATTAAAGACATTCATAAGTTAGCAATTGATTTTTGTCGTTAACAATCGTTCAATTTTAAAATAAGATTTTGAAAATACAAAGATGAGATTTTTGAAATTTTCAGTCGTATTTATAGTCAAAGTAATACATGTAACTAGCTGTGCCTGCGACTTAGTTCGCTTTTGCACGGGTGACTTCAGCTAGGCCCCGTTAGTGATAGCGTGATAATATGTAGCCTATATGTTGATCCGATCTGCAAAATTTTAAATAAATCTATACCGTACTTTTTGAGTTTAGCCCGGACATACATACAGATAAACAGATAAACATTATATTTTTGGCTTCGATATGGATTGTAGATCACGCCCCTTAAATACACTTTTGGCTTTTTAACGATTTTATTCTGGTAACAGATTTATAATTTCACAGAATTATCTTACTATGTTTAATAATGATAACAGATGACAAACGGTTCTAATTAATGGAAACATCTAACAGTTTTCTAATAATAATACTTACTGAGTTTTCTGCGCATCAACTCCTTGGCTCAGCGCGGTTAATGCAGCAGGCAGGGCCTGGTTCCTGTGTTCAGGTTTGAGTTGTGCAATATTGGCCGCGCCGCGCAGACAGGTGGCGCGGACCCTATCGTTCTCGTCCTTCCAGCCAGTGTTGAGGGTCGCCAGGACTGTCTCTATGAGGACTGGGTTGTTGTTGCATCTACGATAGAAATGTTTGTCGTTCATATTAATGGTTTTATTATGTTAACTAAAAATCGCGGGTTACTCACGTGAACCACAGAGGGGTTCTTCCTTATGAGGTTTTCACTCCGCGATTTTTAGTTAATTTAGTATGTCTCTCGATAGTTTTTTTATTGTGTTACTTAGTAAAAAAGCTAAATGTCGGTTTTTATGTTTCGTAGTTGGTTTTAGGTAGGTAATGAAAAGGATTTGCACAGAAAGCTATAAAAAGAGACGGGTAGAATGAGGGTAGGGACCAGGGATGAGGTCTTCGCCCTGCAGTGGGACAACCATGGCTAAAAATATATAAATAAATAGTTGGTTTTTAGAAAAGATTTCAGTGTTAGCAAGGAGTTGGAATTGTACCAAGTACAATTAGGTATAGGCTCACCCCCTGATATATGATTTATAACGTAACCGGTGTAAAATGGTCTAAACCTACCTATATGGGACAAACCCACTTAAAACTACTGCAACTTCTATGCACTAGGTCAGACGCGTCCCAGAGATATGAGCAACTGTAACTGTGTCTAACAAATAAACCAGAAGATACCATTAAAAAAGAAAACTAATATTTATATCACCATCATCATCAACAGCCACATTACCAAGATCTTATACGGACAAGGTATGAACATTATTATTTTTTTTTATACCACGACGGTGGCAAGAAAGTACACGGCCCACCTGATGGTAAGCGGTGACCGTGGCCTATGTACGCCTGCAACACTTGGGCCATTACATGCGTCTAGCCGACACTTAAGAAACCTATTCACTCCCCTCTTGAAGAACCCCATGTTGTAGCTCACTGGGAAAACCACGATAGAGAGTTCATTCCACAATCGGAGGGCCCATGGGAGAAAAATCCTTACTAATATTATAAATTGGAAAGTGGGTTTGTTTGTTCCGCTTTCGCGCCGTAACTACTAAACCGATTGCTTTGAATTTTTGCAGACGTAAAGTAAGAAGTCTGGATTAAATAATAGGGTACTTTTTATCTCGGAAAAATTTGATATTCCCGAGGGAAAACCAAAGTATTGGTATAGATGGCGCTGTGTGTATTGGTATATGTCACATAGGCTACTTTTTATCCTTTTGTGACGCGAGCGAAGCCGCGAGTAAAAGCTAGTTACTTATAATTTACTTTACAATAGTTATAATCTTACCTATAATTAAGCAGGTCCCCTAATAAAGCTAGCGCGGCACATCGTTGCGGCGGTAGCGGACAGCGCGCGTAGTTGGACACGGCGGCCACCAGTCGGGACACGTGTTGGGGACAGTGACGAGATAGGGCGCCCCCCAGTATAGGGGCCAGTTCTAGGACTGTGCTACACGGATCCCCGTGCTCTATGCTCAGGCAGAGAGAACAGGCTTCGCGGACCTGGAGTGACAATAAGTTTAATTTAATTATACTGAATAAAATATTGCTCAGTACTTAATTGGAAGAAGACCATAACAGAATTCTTCATGGTCTTCACTACATAAAGATTAACTGTCATAGTTGCAACAAAATTAATTTAAGAACGACAGATGCTGATTTAGATGACTTGGCGTACTAAGGAATTGAAGCGTCAACATTATTAGCGATGCATAGATTCTACCTAGCGCCTCTAGTGTCAAAATTGTGAAGCTGTCTAAGAACGACACTGACAGTTTTCGTTTATAATTCGCCTAAGCCCCGGCAACCCATTTGCACCCAGTACTTTAATTGCATCGATTGTGAAACTTCAACTCTCAACTCTGTTACATAATCCTACGATTTAATGTAAATTAGATTTTTTACATATCCCCACAAAAAATCGTTACTGACCCTGACGATCGATGCGATAAAAGTACAGGGTGCAAGTTTTACAGATTTTAGTCAGATCGTTTACCGTGTGCGACAAGCGAATTTTTAAACATCTTTGAATGCAGTTTTCTTTCTTTTCAAAGTTAAAGGAAGGTTTTCTTTGAGTAAAATTTTCTATATATAGTATTAAGACTACTTCCCCCTTTTTTTTTAAGCGGGAAAAATCATCGAATGACTGCTCTCGCCTGGGTGAGGCGGGAGGGAGTGTCAGACTCTTACTGACTAAAAACCACCCCGTTCCTTCTCCTGCACGTCGAGCCGGAGCCCCGGTTACCCGTTAGGTTCTCCGCGACTCCCAATCGGCATCGGCCCTATTGGGCCCCATCTGTGGTGGTCTGATGGCTCTTTGAGGCGCGCGCGGAACGCGACGCGCCGTACGCTCAGGTAAAACTACTTCCCCCTTCAGGTATTACAGGCATAACATAATTCCACCCTGTTTAATAAACTATCACCTAAATCTACATACCTTATGACAGTCAGCCTGCTCCAAAAACGCGTTAAAGGTCTGCACAGTGATCTTAGCAGGAGACAATTTGATAGCATCCCTGTTGGGGATAAAACCGAACCGTTCTTGCGTCTTATTGGTTGGTGGAGAATATGCAGGCGATTCCGCGTCAATGTAGCAAGCTAGCGTCGTGTATAGGACCGCGAAGAGATCCGCAAACTTGGCTATACAGATGGGTTTCATTGTCGGTTCTTGTAACATCTCTCCGAAGGCACTTATAAGCTGTAAATTGGTAAAATTTGTATTACACGACGGCCTCATTTGCCGAGTGGTCGCAAGTGCAACTACCGAGCAAGGGGTCTTGGGTTCGATTCTCGGGTTGGGCAAAGTATTACTGGGTTTTAAAGTAGTAGTAATAGTAGCACGGAGTCTGGAATTGTGCCTGATGTATAGCAATAGGGTGACCCCCTATTACATGGGACTCATAACATAAATAGTGAAAAGTGGGTGTTACATTGTACAGTGACATGATGCTTATCCCTTCGGGTAAAAGGCGTGATGTTATGGATCTTTCAGAAGAACTTTCTTATAGCCGATTTCTAAAAACTGATCTTTAAAAAACCAATAACTTACAGTTAAGGGCTGGAGAGCGGCGATGTGGTGTTCGGTTATATGGTAGGGGTCCTCATAGAGTTCCACGGACGTCATCAGCCGGAGGAAGTTGTCCGTAATGGCTGAGGAGAGACCTTCATCTTGAGCTAGACTACGCCAACATGCTAGGACGCTCCTGCAAGGGAGAAGTTTGGTGTAAGCAGAATACTAAGTCTTATCGTTTGTTATTGCTGGTTGTATCTCTTAATAGAAGATAGGAAATTTTAAAGTCTACAAACACGAATATTTCACAAGTTTCTTTTTATGAAATAAGCCGGTAAACGAGCAGATGGATCACCTGATGGTGAGCAATCGGCGCCGCCCATGGACAGCCGAAACACCAGAGGTGTTACAAGTGCATTACTGGCCTTTTGATGATTAAGAATTGGTAATTGGAATTGGTCATAAATCAAAATTATTTATTTCAATTAGACCAGGATGGCACTTTTGAACGTCAAACAACAAAAATTTATAAGTGAAGCTAGTTGCTCATTCCAAGGCGTAGATTCCTATGGAGAAGAACGAGCAAGAAACTCCTCAGGCTTTCAGTAACCTCACTCACACGTCGAAACACAACACTAGTGTTGTTTCACGTCGGTTTTCTGTGAGGCTGACAGTGATATCGATCACTCCGGTCGAGCCGGCCCATTCGTGCTGAAGCATGGCTCTCCCACATTTAAGGTTGGAACAATAAGGTTTTTCAATAAGTTAATAAGCCTACTTTGTTCGTCTTAAATTACATAAATATTACTAATTAGCCATACCCATCAATGGTAGGTACACGGAAAATGGATAGCAAATATGTATGTATTTATACGCGGAAAAGTAAACATGTCGAGTAAGTATTATAAAAACCTTTCACTAGTTTATATTAATTAACTATTAACTACAGGAAAATCATTTTCTGTTTACATTTATAAACCAAAATGAAATGAGATCAAAAACTTACGGTTTCAAAGGCAGTCTCTGGGCCAACAGCACAGCTATCACAGCGTTGGAGTGATGACGTGTCAGTGACGTCAGCGGCTTCATCAGTCGCTGCCGGGCCTCCACGCCGACCTCAGACATAGTCCCCAACATCACCTCCACGATCCTCTCAATACTCTGATACAAGTCCTGACCCTTGTTCACGAAATACGCATCCAAAATAGAACTGATCCCCACACTCCTCAACTCCTGGTCATCATACCCTTCCAACAGACTTTCAATAAACTGCATGTTGTGATGATGAGGTATCTTCGGAGAAATAGCCTCACACAACGCCGTACAGTAATCACTGATCATATTCAGGTCATTCGTCAAGATATTGTTCTGAAGATGACCCAAATTCAACATGCATTCGTCATCAGGGCCAATTGTATGGCCTTCGTACAGATCTTGTATCTGAATTATCACTTTGATGCAGTCTATAGTCGTCAGTCGGACTGGGAAGTTCGTGTCTGCGATCCCGGGAATAATGAGGCCCAATAAATAACCCATCTGGCCAAACTTGCTCGGTGTTTCATAGTTCAGTTTAACGTTTTTAATGTAAGTGTCGAAAATCACGTGGAGAATCATGGTTGAGGCTGTTCGGATCTCATCATTCTCGTGTCGGAGCCATTCGATCAACAACCCTATTAGATCATCTATTGTGCTCAAACATGTGGACTGGATGATCAGCTCTTTAATCAACTGATGCAGAAGTGACAGACTGTCGTTCAAGGTCTTTGCTAGGTTATCATTTTTATCACCATTACCCTCAATTTCATACTTCTTCTTGAAAGAAGAGAGCTCACCAAATATACTGTTGAACAAGACCCTCAAAATAGTGTTTCTTTCTTCAGGTAGTATCCCTTTTTGTAACTTCGTCAGTGCTTTCGAAGCTTTAACTATGATAGGGTACAATTCCACATTTCTTTTATCAAGGTTCGTGTTGTATATTTGTTCGAGGACTGCATTGAGCAACTGCCAACGGTTCCTTAGGGCCACATTGTGATGAGCAGCCGGGTACAAAGCCTTGCTGATCTCGTATAGAGTTGTAACACTGGCTGTGCAAAGATCAAACGGTGGATTCGACTTCAGGATATCATAAAGAATCGCTGTCACATTGTCCCCTAGCCTGGCCAGGACATGGACGTCCAAACAGTCCACAGCAACCTTCCCGTAACACGTGATAACCGCGTACCTAACAACGCTCAACTCCGCTTCTGTTTTGGAATGTCTTGAAGATAAGAAATTAAGTATCTTACTGCCTCGTTTCGATTCATTTTCTTTGTAAGTCGCGTCCAGTTCATTAAGAATAAACTCGCCATGTTGTCTCGAAGCGATCCCTACAGCTTTGCTGACATAATCGCTGCTCTCCATTGGAATAGATTTTAAGGCCAGTAGAATAATTTTGAGGATTTTTTCAACTACCGCAGCGTTGGACATATGACAAGACAGAACTGCCAAGTACTGCAAAGATACTCCCTTAATCATTGGAGTCTGTTTTTTGGACAGAATCTGCTGTGAAATCAACGTAGCGATGAATTCCACCCATTTATTGCTGTTTACTTGTTCTACAGCAGACACTAATAGATCTAACAACATGCTATGCCACTGTTCCTTAGTCTCCGTCGTCTCGACATACTTCAGGAGCCTCTGGATTTCAATGGTCCATGAATTTTTAAGGTTCTTGTGAACATCACCGGAATATTCTTCAAGAAAGACTAGAATATTTCTGTTCCGTTCTACTTGGTCTGGTTCTACCACATGCGTAAGACACCGAACGAAGACTAGATCAGGAGAACATTTCATTTCGATCTCCTTCTCCGATTGTTCATCAGCTGTGACGTCAGAGTTGTTTTGGAGGAGAGAAGTAAGACAGTGGCATACGGTAGCCATTGATGCCGTAAATTCTTCCCCGGTTAATGCTGTTAGTAGCAAGTTGCGTAACTGAGACCGAATGCTAGTTACTGTATTGCACATAAGAATTAAGGAACTTTTGCACGTATCGTGCAGATCGAGAACATCGTGTTTGGAAACATTAGGCGGTCCCTCGTAACTGCAGTGTTTTATAATGAACTCAACCATGGTAAAATCTTCTGGAGTCGTTATACAGTTCCTATACACGAGCCCAACAATTGCTTTCACTAACAACTTCTTCATTTTAATCCCCTGTTCCATGGTAGTCATTATCTTGAGCAAGACTATGAATTTATGGGCATAGTTCTCAACAAAGATTTGGGATGACGTTGTCAAATGAGTCAAAATGATCACAGCTTTCATTCTGTCTTTTTCCTGATTATTTTTGCACTGGTGTAGGAGACTTTCTATGGTTTGGTCGGGAAACTGACCAGCCATATGGTCGAAGCACCTAAGGACCTCAAAATGGTTCTTAACCGTTTGAGGTTGATCATAATCCGGTTCTAAAAGAACCAGATTGAATAGCACATGGTTTATAGAGTTGATGACGCTGTCATTCAAACTCAGTTTCGGGTTCAAAGGCGATGGGGAAAGTAAGTACGATATACATTGACTTATGTAGTAGTAATTGATTGCTGGTTTCCGGTACAAAGACAGCAATGAAAGGACGAATTTGTTGACGGTTTCATTGAATTGTCTTTCTGAGATTAATCTTGTGATTGGGCCTAGGGCTTCGAGCACAGATTCTGAGACTTTAGCTTCGTAGGACGCAAGCCATTGATTGTATAGTACATCAAATATTATGGTAAATTCTGTGACAAAATTATCTTTTATAGATGTTATGTTCTCATTTTCTACATTGTCACCTATTTGTTCGGATACGGCGACTGCGAAGTGACCAAAAGCTGGAAAGAAAAGACGTTTATTAACTTTTTTGTAACTAAGAAAGTTTGCTTTCTATTTTCCTTCTAAATAAAAGTGAATACAGTTACCTATGAGTCGAAGTTTGAATCTGGACTTGAATAATCGAAACTATACTCAAGTATCGAAGTGGAAAGCAATGATGATGAAATTAATAACAGAGTCTAAAATTTCTCTTTGGAAATACCAGGTATTATATTACAATTAACAATAAATATAACAAAATGTAATAAAGACCATGATACATACAACAAACACTGATTAACCTCGTCATTTTATTGCAGCGATAAAAAAAGTTATTAGATAAAATAAGACACATCTGCCATTTTTATCGCTATTTCTATATATAAATACTTTATATTTGTTTAAATTAATTATTTATTGATCTACTAGTTTTACCCGTGGCTGACTATATTCAGATTAAGCGCCCAATTTTTAAGAAATGACTTTGTACTTCTAGCATTTCTTTATATTACTTTTAAATACCGAAAAGGCGAGCCTGTTGCAATGATTGTGATATCAGATATATAGAGTGAAATTCTAGACTGTGTGCTTGCATTACTGATTATTACGAAAATCGAAACACCTAATAAATACTCTAAATGACCCAAGAATTGGACCCAAGACCACTAGTTGGATATCATTATTTGCAACCCAATTGACCAACACCTGATAGACTATTGTCGGAATACTGAAACGCTACTCAATTTGAAGTCGTGCTTAAGTATAGTTCTGTCTCTACAAATTCTTTGTAAAATGACAGAGATGGCACGATATTTGAGCACGACTTAAAATTGAGTAACGTTTCAGTAAGCGCCGGTTTCACCACCTCTATATAAGTACCTGATAAACTTATGTTACAGATAGTTCATACAAATTACGTTCTTAATTCAAATTTATCTATCCAGAGTCTTTAGCCAAACGCCACTTTAGCGTTTGTCTACAGAGAGAGTAGAAATCAAAATGTATGGGGATGACACTGACAAGTGTCAAAATTTACGTCAATCCCATATAATTTGGTTTTCTATTCTACATGTAGACAAGCACTAAATGGCATTTGGCTACAGCTGCAGTGCCTATAGCCAAACGCCAAATTAGCAAACGCTAGTTCATTTATTCATCCAGGGTCTTTAGCCAAATGCCATTTAGCGCTTGTCTACAGAGAGAGTAGAAATCAAAATGTATGAGGGTGACACTGACAAGTGTCAAAATTTACGTCAATTTCATATAATTTGGTTTTCTATTCTACATGTAGACAAGCGCTAAATGACATTTGGCTACAGCTATTGATATTGTGAAACAGACCCTAAAAGCCACAGGTAGGCCATAAAATTTAAAAAAAAAACATGTCTTACCATAAGCAAACGCCTGCTTCAAACCATCTGCTTTGACCAATGAGAGTAATGGTAGCATTTTGCTGAGAATTTCCTTAATATGTGGCACTACGCCATGTGTGTTTACTGCCGCCAGGGTGCCCAGCGTATGTGCTATTGTATAGTGCGGCACTGATGCTGGAGACAGCTGGTTGATTAGGGAGCGTAGGACCTAAAAAAAAAGAAAAAAAAAATTGTCAAAATGTAGGTAGTTACAATTAGAGTTTTATGTTAAATTGTCTCATACATTCTACCGAATCGGTGTACAAATATTAGACTTATTTTCTACTTATAAATATTATGCTTTATCCCAGAAGAGGTAAGCAGAGGAGCACATTACGGCACTTACTGTCGATGTACAATGTAACACCGACTTTTTTACTATTTATGTTATGAGTCCAATGTAATAAGAGGTGAGCCTATTGCCATATACCGGGCACATTTCCAGACTCCGTGTTCCAGCTGAGGTTTTTTAAAAACCCAGTAATACTTTGCCCGACCAGGGAATCGAACCTGAGACCCCGTGCCCGGCGCCCTTGCGAACATTCGGCCAACGAGGCAATCTATTCACATTATATTGTATTCAGATTTTTATTAGAAGAGTTACATCCTATTGTATCGAACAAAACTCTATCCTGAAACTAGTTTTTTAACCCGTTGAGCGTCCGCGTTCCGTAAGGGTGCACACGTGACATTTGGAGAAAGAAACAAATAAAGAAAGAAAATGCATTTATTTGGCCATAGGCACACGAAAACAAGGATCAATAGAAATAAAAAATACAGTCAAAATAAAAACAAAACATTAATAATAGATTTTATAAAAGAGAAAGCAGCATGGAGCATTTTTTCTTATGATCCACCGGGTGCTCATAAAGACGCTCGAGGGGTTAACAGACTCTCCTCTCTGTCCCAACTAATCTATGACTATGATAGCCCAACAGACACTGGCAGGAAATGGTAGCTGTTAGCACCAATTTAATGTTGTATTCTTAAACTAGCCAGATTACTGCAACCGGCTAGCTACGTGATACCGTGACGCACTCGACATTGACACCACTTAGAGTATAAAATGGCTACCTACTGTGAGTGATGATGTTTAAATTACCATCTTTTCTATGTAAGTAATAATAATAATAAACATTACTTCATGTCTTCAATTCTTAGAACCTTCTACCATTCTACCTACCTACGTTTAACCCCTCGAGCGGCCTAATGAGCACCCGGTGGATCATAAAAAAAATGCTCCATGCTGGTTTCTCTTTTATAAAATCTATTATTAATGTTTCGTTTTTACATTGACTGTATTTTTTATTTCTATTGTAATTATCCTTGTTTTCGTGTGCCAATGGCCAAATAAATGCATTTTCTTTCTTTATTTCTTTCTTTCTCCAAATGTCACGTGTGCACCCATTGGATTATAAGGAACGCGGACGCTCGACGGATTAAGTGTAAGACCTATTTTCTAGCTAGTATTGAGTGAGTTTGTTTAAATATCTCAATTTCGTGTCCTTCATTTCCAGATATATTACTATAATATTTTCCTGTAAATGTATAGCCAAGTGGTAAACTTCAGGATGGGTGCTAAATGTGGTAATTACAATAATTATGCAGTCTAGTTACGGCACGCTACAGGCGCAAAATTACTTGGACTGCACGGCGCGGTGTCGCGGGTTCGATTCCTGCTGTGTGATCCACAAATTGTTGTTTCGGGTCTGGGTGTCATTGTGCATGTGAACTTGTATGTTTGTAAACGCACCCACGACACAGGAGAAAATCCTAGTGTGGGGCAAAGTTTTTTTTTTTTTTTTTTTATTCTACATTTAAAGGGGCAAAGTTTAAAAAAAAAAATAATACACGTCAATCTTTGAATTACTAGATGAGGACCGGTCATAAAATAGCTAATTCCACTCACCAAATCCAAATGCTCGTGTCCAACTGCCACTAGGACAGCGGAGGCGCCCATCTGGACAACTGGCTCGTACGTCACATTCTCCATCATAGCTCGCAGCATAGCTGTCACCAAATTGTTGGCCGTAGCCGGCTCCAACCTCTTCACTTGGTTCACACATGTTTGTTCTAGAACCCTGCAATAAATAATAAAAGTATAGGCAAACATAATAACTATCATGTCTTATAATCAATATAGGGAGCTAGACATATATAACATAACATCACGCCTTTTATCCCCGAAGAAGTAGGCAGAGGTGCACATTACGGCACTTAATGCCACTGTACAATGTAACACCCACTTTTCACTATTTATGTTATGAGTCCCATGTAATAGGGGGTGGGCCTATTGCCATATACCGGACACATTTCCAGACTCCGTGCTACTACTGAGGTTTTTACAAACCCAGTAATACTTTGCCCGACCCGGGAATCGAACCCGAGACCAATGAGGTAGGAGTTAGACAATAAAGCATATATTAAAAAGTCACAACATTTTGTAAAAGGTGGCGTCTAATACTATACAATCTATATATATAAAAATCAATGCCACTTTTCGTTGTAATTCCATAACTCAAGAACGGGCTCACCTATCCAAACCAAATGCTTAGGATTTGGTCGGCATATTTAGTAGATGGTTTATGTGAAGTTTGCACAAAATCGGTCGAGCGGTTCCTCATTTGTCACATTTTTTGTAATAAATGAATTCAATAGAAACTTTTTTCACAGAAACTTTTTTGAAGTTTTGTTGACAGGACAAGCACGTTGTTATGTCATTCATGCCGTCAGTTCATTTTGGACGTGGTTTGATTAAAGCCTTTAAAGCCTTGAATTATGGAACAAATATAAAAATTATATGGCAGAAGATATTTTAATTCGTATGCGTCATCATGCAAGAAATCCTGATTTGTTGATTACCTTGGAAATGTGCAACGAAGCTTTGATAATAATTGAAGATATATGTCTAACGATTGCAAATAAAGCATTAGTACAATTGGGTATGACCGCACCAAATCGTCCCATGCATGATTTGTTTGATCGTGAATTGCAACGTGAGCAGGAATTCAACTGTAATGATTTGCGTTTATTTGTACAATCGAATATAACCAAATTAAATATTCAGCAAAAACATGTATATGATACAATCATGCAAGCCGTTTCCAATAATGCAGGTGGATTATATTTTTTGGATGCACCTGGTGGCACAGGTAAAACGTTCGTTATATCATTGATTTTAGCGACTATTCGATCAGATCAGAAAATTGCACTAGCACTTGCATCTTCGGGAATTGCTGCTACATTATTAGAAGGTGGTCGGACCGCACACTCTGCATTAAAATTGCCATTGAATGTACAGGTGATTGAAACTCCAACTTGCAATATATCGAGAAATTCTGCTATGGCAAAAGTTCTGCGATTAACGTCAATTATTTTATGGGATGAGTGTACAATGGCGAATAAAAAATCACTAGAAGCATTCAATCGAACAATGCAAGATTTACGTGGTAATCAACAGCTTTTTGGTGGTGCTTTGATATTACTTTCAGGGGATTTTCGTCCAACATTGCCTGTCATTCCTCGATCAACTCCTGCTGATGAAATAAATGCCTGCTTGAAGTCATCAGTTCTTTGGAGATATCTACAAAAATTGACACTAAACATTAATATGCGTGTTCACCTACAAAATGATCCAGCTGCCCATGAGTTCTCAAAACAATTGTTAGAAATTGGTGACGGCAAAATACAAATCGACAGAACCAACGGATTGATCGCTGTACCGAACAATTTTTGTACAATTGCGCAATCGATAGATGAATTGATTGAATGTGTTTTTCCGAATATTGTTCAGAATTACAGAAATCATGATTGGTTGACAGAACGCGCCATTTTAGCACCGAAAAACATTCATGTCAATGCAATTAATTTTCAAATTCAAGCGAAACTGCCAGGCGTAGTCACGAAATATAAATCAATTGACAGTGTTATGAATCAAGATGAGGCAATGAATTATCCAATTGAATTTTTAAATTCATTGGAGCCGGCTGGTATGCCACCGCATTGCTTGAATCTGAAAGTTGGTTCTTCGATTATATTATTGCGAAATATTAATCCACCAAAACTGTGTAACGGAACCAGATTGGCAGTGAAAAAGTTATTGCCAAATTTGATTGAAGCTACGATCTTAACTGGTAAATCAAAAGGAGAAGTTGTTTTGATACCGCGTATACCTATGATTCCAACTGATATGCCTTTTGAGTTCAAACGTTTACAATATCCTGTGCGTTTATCATTTGCGATGTCCATCAACAAGGCCCAAGGTCAAACACTTCACGTTTGTGGTGTGAATTTGGAGGAACATTGTTTTTCACATGGCCAGTTATATGTTGCCTGTTCCAGAGTCGGTACCCCCAGCCGTTTGTTTATTTATGCTCAAAATGGAAAAACAAAAAATATTGTTTATCCAAATGTTTTGGATTAAGTGTGTTGTAAATAGCTAGCAATTGATTTCGATTTTAAATAAAATATTTTTTTGATTAAATAAATGAATTTGATGTTCCGATTTGTTTATTTTATTTCACTTTATACGTAGCGAAGCACGTACCGGGCCGCTAGTTGACTATATTTAGTACTTTGACGCCTAATTAAGGGTATAATTTTTGTTGTTTTCTTTTTTTTATTCACTAGTTTAGTTGTACCTCTAGTTAATTTTGAGTCGTAAATATTTATGTAGTAATAATTGTTACTTTACATTATATTTTTACCAGATGTATGTCTATTTTATCGAAGCAATAAATACATTTTATGGACTATATGCAAAGCTTGGAGTTTCTAAGAAGAGAATCTAAAACCACAATGATACTTTATCAAACTCAATAATAGACCTCATTTCCACCTATGCCATGATGAATTGGTAATAGCACAATGGGATTGATTACATAACTCGGCAAACTTTAATTAGTTTTGTAGAACACTTATCCTTTAACTTTTCAGTAATAATAGGTGTTATACCTATTATTACTGTATATTAAACTAACAATAAAAGCAACACATTATGCCGCATTCAAATAAACAGACTCATTCCTTTTTCATGGATGTATGATGTATGATTAGTATGTCCCACTTTGGAGTAGGTAGGTATCGAAGAGGGAAAAACTAACGGGAACATAATGACTGTATATTAAAGTCAAAATCATTTATTTGAATAAGACTATATAGGCAGTTTTGAATGTCAACAAAAAAAAAATAAAGTGAAGCTATTTGCTCATTCATGTAGATTCCTATGGAGAAGAACGAGCAAGAAACTCAATTGGTTACTCTTTTTCGATCAGGTTTTCAAAATGTATGTTATGTAATTCTTTCAACTACGGGTCCAATCTGGATGTCACACTTAAATGATTCTACATGAGTTGAAGCCATTTTCAGCCAGTTTTAGTTACTTAATTATAATAGAATTTTGAAATATTTTGTATGTTTTATCTGTTGTAGTCAAACCTACTGACAATTAAGTAAATTAGTTGACTGAAGAAAATTATAATATATACTTATCATCATCGACAGCCTGTAATAGCCCACAGGTGAGCAAAGCATCTTCTCACACGGAGAAGGTTTGAGCATTAACCACCACACTTGCTCAATGCGGGTTGGCGATTACAAACTTATAATTAGAAATTATAAGCCCAGGTTTCCTCACGTTGTTTTACTTCACCGTTTGTCAGTGGTGTCTAGATAATCTTAGAAAGTACATTATAATGCAGGAAAAGTCACATTGGTACTTGCCGTTAGCAGGTTTCGAACCCGCACCCTCATGCATGAGAAGCGGGTGACTTAAACCTCTGTGCCACCATGACATTATTACATATGTATATTTGTAATTTTACCTCAAGGCAAAACATTTAATATGGACATTTTGTTTTATTCAAATATGTTTTAGCATGATAATATGCATATACATAGATTAGAAGCCCATTAAATGTATTATTAAAATTATAAATGTTGATAACATTGTGAAATATAATACAGAACTAAGTTGTTCAATGCTTTAGATGAAATATAATCCTATTAGATAAGTTAGATGTAAAATCTTTTTATTAGATTTCTTATCATTTGGTATTTGTAATAAGAATGAGAATATTTTTGCTACAGAGTACATAATATTTTCATATTTTTGTCAAGGAGGGTAGACATTTGTACCCTCTATGACAAAAATATGTACTCTTCACAGCAATGGTTTAGATAAAAAAATTATTGTTTTTGAATACAATATTTATACTATCAAACACAGTTGTATAAGTAATAGAACTTGAATAAAGTTCACTATATACTTTTTCATATTACATTGACTTATTTGGAACAATAAAAACAATAGCTGTGATAAAAAGGCATACATCAATTATTGTTTTGATTGTAAGAATTAGTCATGGCATGCGAGAGTCGTGCTGATACAACTTAGTCATATTATGATAATAAGCCGTCTAGATAACCAGCAGAACATTACACAACAAAGGTACCACAAATAAGTTATTGCTTTATTTACAGGGACACATAAATATCCTTCAATATCATCATAAGACATATTTATAACATGAAATAACTCACTTGACAATATTTCCAAGCTGCGTAGGGTTCACTTTAACAGTGTTCGTATAGAATTCACAAAATATTTCTATCACCTCATTAGGATATGAATTCGCTATTTTCGTCAATGATTTTATTACAACATTGTTCACGGAATTCTCGTTATCACCTACAGCGTTAATTAACACTGTCACTGTATCTGTAAAACGAAATTATACATGTTTTTTAATAAACTTCGAAGCCGTACAAGTAAACAATAAGAAATTGGTCAATAAAATACCTTTAAGAGATTCGGTTTTAGGTGAAGACATCTTAATATAATCACATGTCCTTGAAATTGTAAGTTATTTGATGAAATTCGCAACTTCTATCTGTTTTTCTTGTTTTAGGCAACGACAATCTGCAAAATTATCAACGAAAACATGACACAGCTGTGCAGTTATTGCGTCACAATGACATTTGGATTTTGATGTTGCCAGTTACTGATTACACTTTCTACTAAAAGGTAAAAACACTCAGTTTTCATTATTGAACTGTAAATGTAAATTGTAATTAAAGTAGACGAATTACGAAGTATTAAACATTTATTAAACATGGTTTCTCCTCGGCTTGAATGATAAATGTAAATGATATTTTTTTTAGATTTTTCATTACTAATTTGTAAACGTACCAAAACAGTTAGATTTCTTGATAGCGTATTGTCTTTGGTAATTGTTTTTATCTAAAGCAGTATTTACACTAAGCAAACAAAATCAAGTCATTTGGAAAAATTATGTAAATAATCAAATACTTATTTCAAGTACATTAACATTGAACTTGAATGCATAAAAACAGCTGTTGCATTAAAGTATTAGTATGAAACTAAGCAAATAATAAAGATAAAAGAACATCGAAGTGAACAGTATTAAAAAATATTCAGTTTGTCAAACATTTAGATACAAGAAATAATGAATTTTAATTAATTACATATAATCAAATTATTTTATAATTTTCATTGTTTTTAACACTTTTCTAAAATGACATTTGATTTGATGTTGCCAAGAGAAAGAAAATGAGTATGAAAACAAAGACATTACGAATAACATTCCCAAGTACCATGAAAAAAATCAGACAGGATGTTAGGCATAAAATGAATTACTTTGTTTATTCTATTAATCAAGTAACTTAGAATTGAATTAAAATAAAATGTAGTGTTCAGTTACAGAGAAGCTATGAGTTCCAAGCATATAATAAATATTACGCGTTATCATTTATGTAAGAGATACTATTTAGTATCCGTGAAGTGATAATTATGAGATTAAACAAATCCTAAAATAAACTGGATTATTAATTTATTAATTTTACGTCGTCAAAAACCATGAATATAACGTCTGGACAGAAACATATAAATAAATACTGCCTTGCCTGTCAACTCATCCTCCCAGAGACAACGAGACTTTGCAGGTTGGTTCGTTATAATCTAATTAAAACGAACACCAATGCTGCGAAGTTAGCTCGCCTATTGGCTGTGGGTGAGTGGTAATCAGGCCTTTAACTTCGGGCACTTCCGTCACTCAATATTGGCACGATGTTGATTGACTCAACTTTTCGGCTTGCTGCTTGCTTGCATCTAGGTGTACCCTATGTTACTCCGCATTGCTGTCAATGCGGTGAGATGGTCGACCACCTCGGTCACCATAGCCTATCGTGTAGCAGAAGCGTGGGCCGGATGTCCCGACACGCCAGCATTAACGACATAATCCGTCGAGCTCTTGTCATCGCCTGTGTGCCAACTGGAACCAAAGAGCTTAGCGGGACGATGGTAAGAGACTTGACGGTATGTCCATTATGCCCTGAAAGCTAGGAAGGTCTTTGGTGTGGGACTCAACCTGCGTCGACGCCCTTGCACCATCTGATCTTCCAGTAAAGATGGATTGTGCTGGTTCGGCTGCTGCCTCTGCAGAAAACCTCAAGCGCCTCAAGTATAACAGCCAACAGAAAACCTTGCTGGTAGTTATACCTTTGAGCTTTGAGACGTTTGAGGTTGAGACGTTAGGTCCGTGGGGTCCGAGTCCCCATAAATTATTCAAAACGTGACATGAGGGCTGGTCGTTTCTCGGTCAGAGGTTAAGCATTGCCATACAACGTGGCAATGCTGCCAGCCTTCTTGGTACTTTCCCTACTGACTTCGATGCGGACGAATTTTTCGATGCTTTCTGTAAATAGTTATTTTTAGTTTTCTTTTATTTAATTTTATCTTAAGTTGTATATATTTAGTAATAGTTAGTATTTATTTTATTTAAGTTTATATTATTTGTAAATAAAAAATCTCGACATGTAAAAAAAAATACCACGAATAGCTTATTTTATTTTTACTTTAATGCATTAATGTTCAATGCTATAATCAGCACAATTATTAATCAATTTAGTTGTACTTTTACATTTAATAATAAAATAAAAAGTATTAGGCAGAAAAGTGAGATTGATATTCGTCGTTTCTGAATCTGTCTGAATAAAATTTATTTAGTCTATGCTCTTCCTGTTCGACGGTCCGACGGGTGTGCGACGACGAGAGAATCGCGTTCTCAACTTCTCGCAAATCGTGGATATCGCGGTCGTGCGATCTCATTCTACGAACGGGATTTTTTCCCACAAAACGAAATTTAAAGTCGTAACATCATTTTCTTCACGTTCGTGTATTACCGCTTAAAAACCAAAACGACTTTCACCGGATACATCGATAATTTGATTAACGAAAGCAAGGGGGCTCGCAAATTATCCCACATAACATTGAATTTATTCACAATGTATCCGTGTGTTTGGTCAGTTACCGATATATCTGTGTGATGTACAGTGTTGTTCGTTTAAGTGACAAAGCAAAAGCGTTGGCTCCCATTCGAGACTATTATCCTATTCGTGATTACGTTGGGCCGGGAACTGGCCACTTGGTTTAGTCGCCGCGGGGACTCCAAAGCGGTAAATACGGAGGCGCAGATCCTGCTTCGCATCATTTATCGTCAGGATTGCGGTGAGTACGGTGCCGGCGCGGGACGGTCACCTTTTCATACAATTAACACTGGATATCGCGGCGTGTTTAAAATTTTCGTACTTGGCATCTGACATTGAAGCGAGTCCGATCAGGTGCCCGTAAGTCTTAAAATAGCTATAAAATGTCAAGTCTGGCCTGGCACCGTAGCAATCAGCTGATCTGTAGCGTTTTAATTATAACGAATTAGGTAACTGATTGTTTGTTGAGAGTTGCTAAGATTTCGCTATCGCCGGGAGCATAATCGGTTGATTGTTGATAGTGCTATCTTGGAGATAGTGTTACATTACTGGCAGTCTTGACATATATCCAGTGATTTCAACTTTGTCTTTGCAGATTTAAAAATGGTGCAGCAAGATTTGACTTAGGCAAGTCAGACTCATATGTTCAAGTGGTAGTCGGGAATGGCTCGGGGTGGCTCACGGGTGTGAGCTCCGTGAGAGCTACAGACACTCGGCAAATCAAGTGTAGTGTTGTGTAGTGTCTAGTCATAGAGTGTGTGTGTTAGTGACGGTGGAGCCGGGATGCCCTCCGTGATGTTGTCCGCGGTGCTTGAAGAGGAGCCCGATCTGTATGAGGCGTTCCCCCCTCATGTTGACCCCACCGGTATCACAATCCTCACTGATAGTCCACCAGGTGAGATACTATTTCATTCATTAATAATTCATTACTTTACAAATGTATTTTAATTTAAAAATAAGTTTCATTCCACTTTTTATTTGAAATTATAACCTCATTTACTTTTTTTTTCGTTGAATTACATTTTATATTTTATAACTGGCACACAATAATATTCTTGAAGAGGTATTCTAGTGATCTATTTATAAGAACATCTTACATAATTTGCATGAAGGTCGGAATTACAGTCACATGTTATCATAGTTATTAATTGAAATGATTACTTTATTATTTCAATGTTGTTTGATAAAAAACTACTACCTACCAAGTAATAAAATGTAATCTTTCTAATATAATATAGAAATGAGAATGTTAAGGAAATAGTAGTACCTAGTAGTATCTTATTTTCTGATAATCAACAAATCTTTAGAAAAGAAATTATATTATATAAAGAAAAGTATTTTTATTTCGTTGGTAAATTAGGTAAAAAGTCCTTATTTCAAGTTGTAAGTTCCAAAAATATTACATTAATAATGCTAATGAAATTGTTTTCTAGAACACAAAGTCAGAATCATTATGGCCTACATCAATATTAAATTATTGCCAACTCCATGTCCTTTTTACACCACTATGCTAATTTATGATGCATGAAATATTGTCTATTCATTTCTTTGTCTCTTGCAAAAAATCCTTTGGCTACAATTTTATTTAGCTATGGTTATTTGTCAAACATAGACAAAGATTTTTAATTGTGTACCTATTTTGTACTGCCCTAGTTTTATACTGTATAATTTTAATTTTATTGTTTTGTTATCTGAGTCATTGAATGTCGTATTGACTTTATGATTAACACATTCACCTTGACTTTTAGATTTTCTCTCGTAAAACTACAGTTCTATTCGTTCTGGTAATTGCTTCGGGTTTTGGGGTTTTCCGGGAATGCTATGGATAGCCAACAATCGATTTCGCTACGGCAGTTCGCGTGAAATCGGAAACACTGGCGGCGGCGGTGGCGCCTATTTTTTTAAGACATTTTTTCATAGTATTTTATAGTTCTAAACAAATACTTAATATTACTTTCTCTGAATTCTTAAATTAACAGTTTTATCCCTGTTTAAGAACGAAGGTTCAATAATAACAAAAGATCACACAAACCAGCACAGGCTTACGACGTCGTTAGGGTTGGCAAACACGATAAAGAATGATTTTTAAAGAAAAAGGTTATAAGAAAGAAATTACCTAGAAAATGCGTCCGACGGACAAAACCCCTCACGTCCGTCTTTTTATACCCACCTCATATTGTTGCGTGATAAACGATTATAATTACGATTGCTACTAATTACTTTTTAAGCCCAAAGAAATGTTGAAGGAATTGAAACTTGTGCGTAAAAGGAAAATGAAATAAATTTCGTTCTTGCTGCTTTTGTAATTGACTTGAATAAAGATCTTAAGAATCTTCTGGATTTTAATGGAGAAGGTTTAATAACTGTTTTCTTAAAACTGAGTCAATCCGATTCTATCCAAAACATAAGCCTCTCCTCTGCCAACCGCCTTTTAATTTTACTAGTCAAATTCCATAAGGATTGACTCCAACTCTTCGCGGAGAACCTAACGGGTTACCGGGGCTCCGGCTCGACGTGCAGGAGAAGGAACGGGGTGGATTTTAGTCAGTAAGAGTCTGACACTCCCTCTCGCCTCACCCATCGCCTCACCCAGGCGGGAGCAGTCACAAGATGATTTTCCCCCCTTAAAAAAAAACTCCAAATAAAGAAAGAAAAATCACCTGCAGAAAAACCGCTAGAAGTTTTTATCCACTGCTTACCGAAGGCCCTTAAATATAGGTCGACTATATCTAACCGAAACTCGATAAAGATCCGTTTTTCCCGGGCAATTCCAGCATTTAATGATCCCGCCGGCACTAATAAGTTTTTATGAAGCGAAACCGTTGGGTAGTCTGTCCGCAAATCGATCAATTTTGTATGTTCGTGACAGATAGGAAATTGCCTTTGAAGTGCCATTTCTGAAGACCAAAACGTTCAATACTTACAGAAAAGAAACGTCTAGAATGTTCCGGCCCTTCTCGGTTAATTAAACCAAAGCATAAAACGGGTTTTAAGTGCATCATGGAACATTCTAGTTGTTTATGACAGTTTCGGGTTCCAAATTACTTCCAAAAGTACCTAAGATAATGTTACGGGGATGTAAAAGTTAGTTAGCAAATAAATGGGCTCAAGGGGCTGTTAAAAAGGATACCCGTTTTGATTACACCCAAATTGTATAATGGGTAGTTACTTGGTTTGTTTATTGACTACGACTATCTAACTTTTCTCGGACAATTTGGTTTTGATTAACAGTTAAAAATCTTAAGTCTTTATCTTAAAGCATTGAGGCCCTGTCCTAAACAGATTACAGTTATTACAGCTTACCTGCAGGATGAAAGTGATAAAACTCATTTAAACGATAACATCCAACTTGATTAGAAACATTAATAAAGTCTGGAAATCTGCTGATATCTCATCATAATGAGAGAGTGTAGAGAAAGTCCGATGATATTTTCTGACAGATTTTTATCGGTTTGCACATAGATAACTCATTTAAAACAACACTCATTGCTTGATTTCATCGAAAGAGGGGTTTTATCTTCTGCCATCAAACTTTATAGCTAACAATAAAAGTATTATATCAACAAACCAGTATCCAAAAACATATTACTTACATTAGCTTCATACTACGTGAATGGAAACCTACACTTTTTGTACGATTTACTAGCTACCAGTAGTGCAAAAATCTCACGACCCACAATCGAAAACTTGAAACAACGATGTTCGATTCGCTTCCATATCTAGTCTTTTCGCCATTGAACATGTTCATTGACTTCATGTTTCTCCACAGCCGCGAGTTTCCCTGAATGAGTGTAATGCTCGGATCATTGTTTGTGAAACAGTGGCATGTTATGCATTGCACTGTCTAAACACTCTTAACGGTAACAATAGTGACTTAATATTAGCAAATGAAGTTCAGGTAAGCGTCGTTTCTATGTATTAAAGCTGAAATATTTTGCAAGAAAATTCTGCTACGTTTTTGCTGTAACTAGGGCCTTTTATTGAAAGAAGAGTGAACATTTCGACGCATAATAATTATGGGTTAGTAACGATTTTGCAATGATCTTCATTTTATCTATATTGTTTTTTAAAGAATATCTGCAATATATCTTATGCATAATTAAAGAAAAACTTACTCACGTGAATATACTGAGAAAAGCGCTACTAGTTTCGAACCACAGAGGGGTTCTTCCTCATGAGCAGCGTGCGTGAGTAACCCGCGTTTTTACTTAATTTAGTATGTCTCACGATAGTTATTATAAAAATCTTAAGCATAATTCTAAATCCACAATGTAGCAAGTGACTCGCCATTCTATCTCGGATTCTATATGATTTATGAAAAAATCATATTTATTTATCACTGGCGACCGGATACTTAAGTATTCGCATATTTGATAGAGTAGTATTTATATAAATAACGATTAAATTGTAGTATTGAAACAAGTTAATGATGAAAAACCCCCTTCTCTTATTTTATTTTTTCATGATTTTGCAGTAAATTATTGGGTGGTAGCAATAAATGATAGCTGCATTACTCGATGTAATAAAAATTTTGTGGTTCGTTAAAGAGGTAATATTGAAGATGAAGAAGATAAAAGTTGGAGTTCAAAAGCAGGTGTTCTTCATCCAAGTATAAAATGGGACAAAGGAAACTCCTCCTTTGACAATCTTTCCCAATAAATTTTAAGTCTCAAAGTTTCACCAAGAAGTTGCGAGATTGCTTTGAAAATATTGACCATCTTACCCGACGCGACAGAGTAAAATGTTTTTTATGATCTGTTAAGTGCCCTATAAAAAGGGAAAGGACGATACATTGTGGTTACATTGAAATCAAAATCGTCGCCTTTTATCAGTTTTATTGTAAAATTGTAACGTAGTATCCTCATTTTATGTCTGAAAACGGTTCTTTACTTTATTTTAGCATATTTTTTAAATGTCGCTTTTTGCGTAATTCCGATTTGGCTGGTATTTTTCCATTATCATCGGAGACCCTGCATTATTATGTCGTCATAACTTTAGTTTTATTTAACCAGTATGAACTGGTTAGTATCTTCCTGTTGATCTTTGATTTAGAACGACTTGTTAAATATATTTTCATGTAGAATCAATTAACACCATCCTCTGTCAATATTTTGTTCAAAATTGTGATTTGCTACTTTGGGATTGGTTGCTTAATTGGTAACTAAATTCAATAATATACCTAAAATAGTGTCAAAAAAGATCTTTAAAAAATATTTTGCTTAATATGTTCACAACATCTATCTAAATAAATGATGTGGTGTTTAATTTCGTTAGTTGGTTACACCGAAAAGAAAAGTTTCTTTCCCTAGAGCTACGAAACCGGGATGCGGATCAATAGTGGTCGTTGTTGGGACAATATCTAGATACCAGATCCTCTTTCATTGTCAATGGTTAAAATCCGCTACTTGATTTTGATAGTTGTCAAAAAGTTAATTCATCATCAAGACAGACAAGACAGACGTCTACTGCTGAAAGTTTTCCCCAATGATTGCTAAATCGTCGAGTAAAAGTTAGTTAGTAAGAAAAGTACTCTGTAATCTTCCTTACCAACCGACCTTACCAACAAAGGATAGAAACCAGCACTTACTTCAAGGAGTGCGTGAAACATACAGATGCCCGTTGTGCCACAAATCATCAAAGTCGGAATAACCTAGCTAAGGACCATCAAATCACTTCTAACCCGTTAAAATCCTCGCCCACCCTGGTTAGAATAACCAGTAAAAAGAATTAGGTTTGGCGTCTGTGTCAATCCTAACCTGACTGGAGAAAAAACTACACAGAAGATTAGTTAAGTGCTTTCTCAGAACAAAAAGATTTGTCTAGACCACCATTTAAGTAATTTTGTACAGGTTTTTAATGTTATTTGCTTAATTTAGATTTGGACACGAAAGGAGA